AAAAGATCTTTAGCCAGTTTCTTCCATATTCTAGAGCAGGGGTGTCAAACTCAATTTCACTGAGGGCCGCCTCAGGGCTGTGGTTGACCTCAGGGGGTTGGGCTGGGCATGGTCGACTGGATGGGTGTGGCCAGCTTGATGCCACTCACTGGATATGGCTGACTGGGTGGGTGTGGCCAACCAGGTGGGCGTGGCCAGCTTGACGGCATTCCCCAAACTGTTGGCATGTTTCCTCTTTGCATTGGGTAAACCGGACTGAAGCCACGATAGCCCGATGTTTCCTCTTCGCACTGGTTAGACCGGGCCAAAGCAATGCGAGTAGACCGGGCCAAAACAATGCAGGCTGGCCCCTTACATTTTCCAAGATGGCCCCACAGGCCAGATCCAACCACGTTGCAGGCTGGATCTGGGCCGTGGGCCTTGAGTTTGACACCCCTGTTCTAGAGTATATTTCATCAGGGATGGGGACTTGGAAGATATTCGTGGGTTCTCAGCTTTTCTACCATAAATTATTTATCAAAGTTCCTGGATTCTTAGATGCTTGTTCAAGTATTTTAAGCCTAGCCTGCCAAGACGTGTAACAGCAGAGGTAAGAAAGCATGTGTAGAACAATTGGTATTACACAGAAATCTTACACAGATGCTATAGGAGTCCATTGCAGCTGCTGTTTCCATAAAACCTTAGCTTTTTACTTCAGTCTCAGTAACTTGTTTCCCAAAGAAAAATATCCTACTATGCTGACTCCTGAACTCATTCTTCATCCCACTAGCTGCTCCATCAAGACCTGTCCATATTACTTCTCTGGCCTATGGTTCTTGCCTCAAGCACAATACCCAATTACCCAAAATACAGATCAGATTATGGCCCCTGCTTTGGGGCAAAATTAATTGCATGTTACCTATGTCTTGGTCATATACCCAGTAAACTTTGATAGTCCTTTCACATCAATTGTCGGTGAGCCAAACCTACAACCATTAAGCTTCTATTTGAAACAGCTTAGAATTGGCTTTGATAAAATATATTATTTGTACTAAGTAAAATGTCCTTTAGAATTGCATAAATTGTAAAGGAGATACATCTTTCCAGCTTTAATAAAATACTAATGCATTTTTCTACATTTCCAGTCAGCTGCCTAGACTACTAAAAAAGAAGAAAGGCATGGCAAAAATCTCTTTTTGTCTAAGAACATCAAAATGTTTTTGAAGTGAAATCTGTGTCATTCAATTCAGTAGCTCAAATGAGCAGCATACTGTTCAGATCTCCTTAGGCTAAAGTCTATTACTGTCTAATAAGAAAAAGAATTATAAACTAGAGAATGACAATAATATCTACATTCTTTTTTTAACTGCCGCCTGGATATTCACAATCTTTCTCTTATTTTATTCCCATACTATTTGACTCAAAACATGAAAAATATCTACAACATAAACTATGGATCATTGGTGGATTTAAAATATAAGAATGTTACAATATTTTGTTTTATAATATCACGATAATACAAAATTTCATTCAAAATGTTAGGAAAAGAATACTGATAATATCTGCTTTGCTAAAACACAAGATTTAATGGTGGCTACAAATGTCAATTTAATTTAAATTTTTCAGTTTTGATACTGCCCAACTCCACAATGAGTTATTCTGAATAACAGAGCTGGAAGGGACTTTGGAGGGCTTCTAATTCAATCGCATGCTCGGGCAAGAAACTCTATACCACTTCAGACAAATGTCTTGGCAGCTTCTAATTAAAAAGAACAATTATTCAGTGGAACAACTTGCGTCCAGAAGTTGTGAATGCTCCAACACTGGACGTTTTTAAGAAAAGATTGGACAACCATTTGTCTGAAATGGTATAGGGCAAGGGTGTCAAACACAAGTCCTGTGGGCTGAATCCGGCCCATGATGTGGTTAGATCCAGACTGCAGGGCCGTCCTGGAAAATGTAAGGGACCAGCCCACATTGCTTCAGTCCAGTCTACCCACATTGCTTTGGCCCGGTCTATTCGCGTCATTTCGGCCTGGTCTATCCAATGCGAAGAGAAAACATTCGGCCAGCATGGCTTCAACCCAGTCTACTCAATGCAAAGAGGAAACATGCCAACAGTTTGGGGAGTGGTGTCAAGCTGGCCATGCCCACCCGGTTGGTGACGCACACTCGGTCGATCATGTCCGGTAAGTGGCGACAAGCAGGCCACACCCACTCAGTCAGCCATGCCCACCCAATCAGCCACGCCCGCACAGGTCCCCCAAGGTCAACCACAGCCTTGATGCGGCCCTCAATGAAATTGAGTTTGACACCCATGGTATAGGGCTTCCTGCCTGAGCAGAGGGTTGGACTAGAGGACCTCTAAAGTCCGTTCTGTTCCATTCCATTCCATTCAGCCACGGTGGCGCAGTGGTTAGAATGCAGTACTGCAGACTACTTTTGCTGACTGCCGGCTGCCTGCAATTTGGCAGTTCAAATCTCACCAAGGTTGACTTAGCCTTCCATCCTTCCGAGGTCGGTAAAATGAGGACCCAGATTCTTGGGGGCAATATGCTGACTCTGTAAACCACTTAGAGAGAGCTGTAAAGCACTGTGAAGTGGTATATAAATCTTAAGTGCTATTGCTATTGCTATTCCATTCCATTCGTCAAAGAAAAGGGAATAAAACCAACCAGAATCACTAGCCCCGTAACAAAAAGACCAAAATGATACTCCAAAACAGCGGGGAAAGGGAGCGGGACTCAACTACCATCTTATCACTAAGCCTGAGACAACAAACAGGTTTTAAACAATTTATTAAAAAACCAGATAGATAAAGGAAAATATTTGTAGCTCAGGGTTGAAATGAGGGGTCTTTAGTGCTCTCTGAGCTTGGTTGTTTTCTTACAGATGTTTTATTACCCAAACTTGGTAATATTTACCTAGTTTGGGTAATAAAATGTCTGCAAGAAAACAACTAAGCTCAGAGATCATTAAAGACCCCTCAATCAGATAGGTGTTTAGATGTTAGTCAGGTTAGTCAATGAATGCCTTAAATCCATTTGTTTAGTGACCGTTTGATATTACTCCACTGAAAAAAGTGACAGTTTTTCACAGTTATGACTACTGCAGCATCCCCATGGTGTCATGATCAAAATTCAGATGCTTGGCAATTGGCATGTATTTGTGACAGTTGCATTGTCCCAGAGTCATCCTTTGTGACTTTCTGACAAGCAAAGTCAATGGGGAAGCCAGATTCACTTAACAAACACATTACTAACTTAACAACTTCAGGGATTCACTTTACGATTGTGGCAATAAAGGTCGTAAAATGGGACAAAAGTCACAAAACTACTATCTCACTTATTTACTGTCTCATTTAGCAACAGAAATAAATTATGGTCATATGTCGAGGACTACATGTATATGTCTTCGGGGAGATATTATTCCAGAGGGCAGGAATTCTCCCTGAAAAGGTATAGTTCCTAGGTCCTAGAAGTTGATTTTGTTCACTTGAGTATGCCCATTTTAACTGATTTCACCAGGTGGATAAATGATATCGAAAATAATGGTCCCTGAAGCAGCCAGGCCCTATGAAGGACTTTACAGGTGATAACCAGCATCTAGAATTGCAACCAGAAGCCATATGCAATCTATTCAGGTCTTTTCCTGTGTAAGATTGAGAGTATCTTGGCGACGTTTCAACGAGGTCCCACTCGTCATCTTCAGGCTGGTGTCTTCGGCTTCGTGCATGTGCGAGCAAAGCGTGATCGGAGATACCATCTCTCTATAAATACTGGTGGGGGTGTGGAGTGCTGGCTTTGTTGTTGTAAGCGGGCCTGAAGATGATGAGTGGGACCTCGTCGAAACGTCGCCAAGACACTCTCAATCTTACATGGGAAAAGACCCGAATACACCAAGACTTGCATACCTGTACCCATGAAAACCTACGAAATATATATATATATATTTGTTATATATATATCAATATATATATATCAATATATTTATATTTATATTTATATATAAATATATATATATATTTGTTTTCGTAGATTTTCACGGGTACAGGTATGCAAGTCTTGGTGTATTCAGGTCTTTTCCCGTGTAAGAATGAGAGTATCTTGGCGACGTTTTGACGAGGTCCCACTCGTCATCTTCAGGCTGGTGTCTTTGGCTTTGTGCTTGTGTGAGGAAAGCATGATTGGAGCTGCGTGATCGAAATAGAGAAACACCCCCATAACATGAATAAATGCGACAATATCTCCTGCCTACTGGACATCTGGAAATTAGCCCTAGTCAACAGAAGAGTCCCAGCCACGAAGATTAACACCGGACCCAGGATAACACATGACACCACCACCAATCATCCTTACCAGATTCAAACCCAAACCCATCCCATAGACGAAGTACAACCACCATCCAGAAGCCAGACCACGGCAGCATCACCAGCTGCTGCACCCCCCTCTGATCTTCACACAAAGCAAACTGACACACGCCACGAACACATGGCAAGACCTCAAACTTGGAGCCAAACCAAAGCCCGGGATGTGGCATCACAGCCATCTGCTCAGGACATTACATCAAAAAACTCAGGATATCACAACACTAGAACTCAGGATGTTAACACACAGCCCATTACCCAGGTCGTTAAAATACAAAAGACTAATGGGCACACATCAAGGACCTCACCCACAGAGGATGTTACGAAACAGCTGACTAATCTGTAAACATTAACTCCATCAACCAATCAAGATGTAACAACACAGGCAACCAACCCACTCACAGCAACAAAGCCAGCACCCCACACCTTCCCACCAGTATTTATAGAGAGACGGCAGCTCCGATCACACTTTCCTCGCACAAGCACGAAGCTGAAGACACCAGCCTGAAGATGACGAGTGGGACCTCATATATATATATATATATATATATATATATATATATATATATATACACACACTTTAAACAAACAAACTGAAATCTATTCAAATGTTGCTAGTCAGAATACTAGCCAGAAGAAACAAACTCTCTCTTACCTCCTTTTCCTTGTTCAACAACACAAGCTGGCTGTTGGTCAGAATACAGTACTTTGTCTCCCATATTATAGTTTCTGAATCAGGGGACTGACCACAAGATAGTCTATGAGTTGCAGGTCCTTTCACATCTGTAAAAAAAAAAAAAGCATAATTAGAACATATCAGCTACCCACTCAGGTGCTAAATATAGATTCAGCAGAGCAAACTTATGCATGTTTATAACCCCTGGGGCATAGTCAGGACTGCATTCGTTTAGTATGACTTGCTTACAATATTTGTAAAAGCAAGCCAATAAACAATCCCCCTCCCTATGCAATCCTACTCAAATTATCACAATTTGTTAATCTAACCAGCTTTAGCAATACTATTTAGTATCTATGCCAAGAACTAGCCTGACTAGGTGGTTCAGTGGCTAAGACACTGAGCTTGTTGATCAGAAAGATCGGCAGTTGGACGGTTCAAATCCCTAGTGCAGGTCTCCTGCGTGAGCAGGGGATTGGACTAGATGACCTCCAAGGGTCCCTTCCAACTCTGTTACTGTTACTGTAAACTATGGATTATATGTGAAAATTAACCTAAGGAGATGTACACAAAGCAATTTCCAAACTGGAAAAAAGTTGGTTTTTATTTAGCTCACAATATAAAGGTGTACAAAGGTAGATTACCGGGAAGTCTCTAGCAAATTTTGCGCATATGATGCAATTTCTTTATACCACCATTAAAAATCAATGACAGTATTGATTTAGTGCAGATATGATTGGAATCCATAATGCCCACTATAAGAATTAAGCATAGTGAACTTCAGGCTAGTCTATTCTTCTGGTCTTCTTTTTATTGAAAAGGAGATACTGATGCACTAAATGCCCAGGGAAGGAAAAATGCATGAGCCTTGGGATTGCCATGGCTTACTCATACAGTGTGGGAAAATACAACCTCAATTGAACTGTTGCCTACAATCTAAAATATGCTATTTTATCAGAGTCATCCATGTAAGAATGGGGCATATTTTATTTTAAGAAAAGAAATTGAAACAGTAATTTGCTCAACAGAATTCATGGCAGACAATTTTCAATTACAAATGTGTAGGCATTTTACAAAGAACTCAAAACTCTTTGCACACTGATTATTATTACAGTCAATTAATGAAGTAGATCCTGGCTGGGCCTGAAAGAGTGTATCCGCCTACAGTATGTCTATTAAATATTCCAATGACTGAGATGATAAAATCACAGAACTGAAAGACAGTTGAAAAGTCATAGATACAAAATCCATGCTACTGCAGGAAATTGCCACAAGAGCAACAAACTCTCTAATAAAGGTTACCACCTCTTCTAAACAATCTTGGCCATTGTTTGCAATAGCCATCAAACTGCTTCTCCAGTTGACTCTTCTAAAAAATACTGAAACAACAACAAAACTTTGAACATTCCTATAGGACTTTTCAGATAGGGCATAATCTAAAGTGGAGACATTACTCATGCTCTCTATATAAAAAAACCTATACATTATGTATAGGTAGTCTTCAGAATACTGTTGCAGAATTCTAAATCTAAAAAGAATCCATTGTAAGTGACTTTTCCCATTCATAAACTTAAATAATACAGTATACTGACAATCTGCAGAACTCTCTCCAACAGAACTATTAAAATACTGTTTAATATGGCATAAGAAAACTCCCAACTATGGGAGACTGAGAAAGTGCTGTAAAAACAATGGTGGATGAATTAGGGATTTGCAAAATATTTATCCATGGAAGAGCTAGTTTTAGTGAACCATAGATTGATGGAAACATGTCTTTTGAGGAAGAACTGTCTTGTCTTGGGCAGCAATGGAAGAAAGCCAAGTACTACCAAGAGCCTTGGTAGTACAGTGGTTTAATGCACCCTGTAATTAACACAGCTGCCTGCAATTTCTGCAGGTTCGAATCTTACCAGGCTCAAGGTTGACTCAGCCTTCCATCCTTTCTAAGGTAGGTTAAATGAGGACCCAGTTTGTGGGGGCAATAAGCTGACTTTGTATGAATATACAAAAGTATGAAGGCTATTGCTTAACGCATTGTAAGCCGCCCTGAGTCTCCGGAGAAGGGCGGCATATAAATAAATAAATTAAAAAAAAAGAATATTTGTGACAATAGCAGGATATTTTCCCTAAGGACATGTTTGTGACTTAGAAGCTCAGGCAAAGGATCAAACTAGATTTTGCTATGACATCTAAATCAGTCTAAACTAGAGTTTCCCAAAGTGGTAAATATCCTCAAGGACTATCCAAGGGGTCAATACTGTTGTTATTATTTGTAGTATTATTAATTAAAGTAGTATTTATTAAATTATTTTCATATAATAAATGGATGTTGCTGAACAATCTGTAACTTCATGAAGGGCTCAGTGAACTGAAGAGTTTGAGAATACTTGGCCTAAACCAGGGGTTCAACCTCGCAGAATCACGTCATCATGTGACGTATCACGACTTTTCCCCCTTGGCTAAACCGGGGGTGGGCATGGCCAGTACGTGATGCATCTGGCCCGTGGGCCACGAGTTTGACACTCCTGGTCTAAACCAATTGAATCATGTGTTCTTTGACCTTCTCAATTGATGTACAGGTAGCCTTCAACTTTCAACCATTCATTTAATGACTACTCAAAATTATAATGGTATTAAAAAAAGAGACTTGTGACCAGTCTTCACACTTAGCTTGTCATAGCATCCCTATAGTCACGTGATCAAAATTCAGGTGCTTTGCAATTGGCATATACTTAGGATGGTTGCAGCACCCTGGGGTCATTTACAATCTTCCTAGCTGGCTTCTAACAAGCAATATCAATGGGGAGAGTTATGGATTCACTAAATAACTGCATGATTCATTTAACAACTGCAGTGATTCACTTAACTACTGGGGCAAAAAAGATCATACAATCGAGCACGACTCACTTAACCATCTTGCTTAGCCACATAAATTTTGGTTCCAATTATGTTCATAAATCGAGGATTATTTGTACCATGTTTTACATTTCGTATCTAAAAAATGATCTAATACTATCTCTTGGAGCAATTATAGGACAGAAAAAACAGCAAGGCTTTGGCTCTTTATGCATTTTCATTTAAGGAGCAATACAAGAATCACCAGCCACCCTAGCACCCACCACGCACAAGCTTGGCACTCCACAAGCAATTCCATCAACAGACACATTGACCTACAACCAGCCTATGAACCCCTGAGAATTGAAATCAACCACACAGTCAACCAGAGACAGTCCTGATCCTCAACCAACACATTAAAGCCCTCAACCAGCACTTCACCTCCCAATGACCCTCACCTGACATGACCCATCACAAGACCCTCACTTGATGCAACCCACACCTGAAATTATTACTAAGATCCCAAAAATAAAAGCATAAAATTAAGATTATATTATTTAATTAAGCATTTATTATTAGACTTGGTATATGGCATATTGTTTCCCACTTCCCTTGAGTCCTTTTGAATGGAATGACTCATTTATAATTTTTAAAAATCAAGTAGCAAGCAGACAACTAATAGTCACATGATGGGCTTGTTTGGACTGCAAAAGAAATTCAAAACAGGAGGAAATGTATGGTTGTTATTTCTGTATTTATAAATCTATAGAGGACAATCTGTGTTTTCTATATGACTCAGAAGCGCTCTCATTTTCACTGACCTTGACCAAAAGTACTGTACTGTAGTAGCTGTCAGATCCCTAAAAGTGATCCTGCCATTCAAGTAGAGGAAGGGGGAGACTTGGATTCGAGTTACTACCATGGTTACTATCTGTGTCATCAGATATTTTATAACCTATATCTTGGCGCCAAGGAGGCCTGAGGTTCCCTTTACCTGCAGGAATTTATATGATAGCCATGTGGGTTGTCTCACTTTATGTCAGCGTTCTAAATTAGGCTTTCTTCCAGCGCTGACATAACAAGTTGAAGCAGAAAGAGCGGAAGCTTGATTTATTGCTGAGATGAACTTTTACCTAGTTTTGTATGTACAGATAGTGTTTCCTGGGAGACGAGGATGGGGGTCGCATTCCTGTGAAAAGAACGTGCCGGGATGTAGAGATGGATCTGTATGATGGCCAATGGGACATTGGGGTTGGAGAGCGGAAGAGGAGGGGGTTGGAAGGAGGGGCCAGTTTGGCTGCAATTTGAATCAGAAATGTCGGATTCTGCTATTCTTAAAAATAAAATGATTCATTAGACAGCTTGCGCTTGAGAATGAAGTTTATTCAAGATAGCACCGAAACCTGACACTTTAAAGGATAGTGATGGGAATGCAGGTTTGTTCGGGTTCTCAAAGGAAATAGTAAAGAAAACATCTTCACACTTGTGGATTGGCTAAAATCTGCATTCAGACTTAAAGGGAGAGGTCCCTACCACTTTAATCCTACTGCTTTGCCTAAGGGTATTCAGATTGTGCTTTACCTGGATGGCTTTCACTTCTGCTTAATAAAAGAATCCTTTTGAACAACCACGTTTCAAGAGTTCGTACTTTCTTAAGTTGGAAGGAGAGGCGATCCTTACAGAAAGCACAATCTGCAAAATGGTCAACCCAGAGAAGCAATCTTCGCTCTACTGAGGGGACCTTGCAAATCATGTCTGAATGAAGCAGAGAGCTGGGAGAAACCGATTGCTGGGGAGAGACAGCAACCACCACCCAGTCGGATGCCTATTTTGTGCACCCCATCGGAGAGAATGAGGTAACCCTGGAGAATCCTGAAAAGCCCCGCTGGTCAATTGGCATCGGGAAGAAAGATAGCTGGGATGAGAGAACGAGGGGAGTCACCCTCAACCGTGGCAACCAAAAACCAGGGTGGAAACTGGAACTAGAAGTCCTTGCTGACCAAGGAGGACTGACAGAAGCACCACTGAGGGAGGACTATCTGAAGAGGCATATAACCCAATTGGTGATGGAAACTTTGGAAAATCTCAACATCCGAAGGGAGCCAGGACAACAACCAACAACAACAACCAAAGGGCGCGGAAGGGGCAGCCATTGTGGAGGCTCCCTTCTGGAGCCGGCCTATTGAGCAGAGGGCACAGCAGCAGTGGGAGAAGACCCAGCAAACCCTCCCCTCCAGGCAGCACGCACACTGGCGCCCATTCCCAACCAGCC